CTACATCGGTAGGAACGAGCACGAGAGGTAGGTATCGCGAAAATAATGATCTACTGAGAATCCAAGGGCTTTGTATTACGAAAGCGATCCACTGTGGCTACCTCGAAGTCGCGCTACCCCCGCGTCCGCGCATTATTATCGAGGTCGGAACGCTTCGACGAGCAGAAAAATATGGACGTATCGCGGATACGTATAGTCATACCTTCTCGCGGGAAACGAAACGTATTCGTCCCCGAGACTCCGAGCGGATAGCGTGATCGCGATCGCGATACGAAAGTACGCAAAGTCGCGACGGCGATGATAAGCGTTTCAGCGAGAATCGCGCATGAGGACAATTCGGGGCGGCTTCATGGCTGACATTTTCCTGGGCGTTTATCGTGATAATAAGGCTTTAGGTCAGAGGGTGTGGCCTCCCCAGATTGATTCGGCGAGCTGTGCTTGCTTCTGCGCGTTGCGTTTTCTCATTGCGAGCAGTATGGCGTCGCGTCGCGTCGCGTCGTTCCGATTCTTCTATTCCATCTTGGCCGCATTGCCGTTTATCGCGCTGTTACATCGAGGAATTTAGTTCGGTGATTCGCTCCCGATAATTATGAAGTACGAGCCAGCTTGATCACGCGAGTTATCGGAAGCGCCATATCGAAGGCGCTCGAGATATTACGCGTAAACTGATAAACGACTGTATTTAATTAAATTTCCAATTTCTGTTCCTTTCAATTGAAATGAAAGAACGGTAGGTGGGAAAGTGATATCTCATTTCGAGACGAAAGAATACTATGAATAATTACGACATTTTTATACAGTAATTGTATTTAAAAACGATATGCGTGACTCTTTCTCGTTTTCTCCTATCCGTACTCTCTTCCTCGATTTTTCTCGCTTTCTCGCGATTTTCCACGTTCTCTCGCGAATACTCCTATTAATACAGCACCAGCAACGTGTCGTAGACGAGAAACTGCTTCTTGCACTCCAGAATCATTGGCTGCATGCTAATCGATTTGCAGGAGAATGGATCTCGCGTTCGCCAGAATAAGACAAACTGGATTTATTGACTCGCGCTGTAGCCGAGAGGAAAAAAAAATTGCTGCTTTTCCGAGGACGATTACAGCCGTAGTCCGTAGTCGTCATCGTCGTTGTGTTACTGGTGTGCGAGCAGTAACACAACAAGCCAGCTTGCGATCACCTGGAATAATCAAGCGGAGATATTAGCGTAGCGTGCGTTCGCGCGCGTGGGAGTGTGCACGCGCACGCGTGCGCACACGCGCACGCGTGCGCACGCATAAAACCCATACACGCGTACATTCGCCGGTATACATAATGACGACGCGCAGTATCGGCGCGGCGTGGGTGTTCGTTCTCGCTCCGACAGATTCGAAAACGCATTATTAACACCGGCGACCCTGGCTCTATGATTACGCGCATTAATAGCCGGATGGACGAACTTTGCTCGCGCTCCGCACTATCATTATCATCGCAACGCGAGAAAGAGACGGATGACGAGAGACCGTAGGAAAAGAGGCTGGTCCCACCGCGGCGGCGGCGGCGGCGGATCGAGAAAGAAAATTACGAAATTGTTATTTCTTTCGTTCGGACGCATTTCACTCCTTCGACACTTGTATTTAGTATCGTGTGCGTTTTTCGTAACAGGCGATTTTTCGTGCCACTCGATCTTCGATAATCAAAAATGTCGAATATATTGTTTTTACATTCACGATGCGAACCAAGTTCTGAAGTTTTTCTACAATAAGTCATCGCATAGCTTTAATAAGCTATAAGAAATTGACCAATCGATTACTCTTCTTATATTCGGCTATGTGATTGCTGGTTCTTATAACTTAGGACTTAAAACTTAAATAACAGCTTATTGTGGAAAGCCTATTATATTAAACTAGAGATTGAGACTCCTATTCGATAAGTCTTAACATACTCTATGACAGGATCGTTATATTATTGTTGCGCAGCTTTTTTTATCATGTATAATATCTGTGCAATGACGATGATATTATCATTGTCGTTAAGAGTTGCAGAATAGAGGCTTGAGATTAAAAAGCAAATCAGGTTTAAGTGAACTTTCTTTCGATTGGTCAAATTCAATCTCAATCTCAAGCGCTAGCTTGATTAAATCACACTTGGCGTTTTTGTCTACACCTTCTTTCGATCGTATTTTCAAATCAGTTCAACTTGTGAACAAAT